GATTTGTTTCTCTAAAGCACCCAGACTCACCCACGGCGTCAGTGTGTTGCCTGTGCATGAAAGCAAGCGTGAGACAAGGTGTGTGCCCCGTGTGTTAGGGAGGCGTCCTGTGGGTCTCTCCTGTGAGCGCGACGCCTGGGGCTTGAGTCGGTGTGTGTGAGAGGCGTTTGTTTTCCCCTTGTCTGTCAGAAACGTACTGTCTGTCCTTCCCGTGCATGTGCGTGTGCGTGTGTGCGTGCGTGAAAGAGAGACGGTGTTCCCTGTGTGTGAGAGACATGGTGTCTGTCTTCTCCTGTGTATCTGTCTCCCGGGTGGTGTGGGAGACAGACAGCGTGTCCTTCTTGTTCAAGTATGGTTGTGAAAACATGGTCTCTGTCTTCCCCTGTGTGTGTGCACGTGTGTGTGCGTGTGCATGTGCGTGTGTGTGCGCGCGCGTGCGTGTGTGTGTGTGTGACACAGAGAGAGATAAGACACAATGGTTGTTTGCTCGAGCGTATGTGTGAGACGCCATAGTTGGCTTCCCCCGAGTGTCTCAGAAACATGGTGTCTGCCTTCCCAGTGTTTGTGTGAGAGACACATGGCCTCTGTGTCCTCCCTCGTGTATGTAAAACACATACAGTTTCTCTGAATGTGTGACAGAGAGAGAGAGACAGACAGACAGACATCTGTCCTCTCCCCTAAGTGTGAAGACATTGGACCTGTCTCCCAGTGAGTGTGTGTGAGGAGACTGGCTTTGTCTGCCACTGAGTGTGCGAGACATGTGGTCTCTTTCTCTCCCGTGTGTGTGAGAAAGAGACATGGTGTCTGTGGCCTTTGGTGTGAGACACACACATTGCTTGTCTGTGTGTGTGTGTGTGTGTGTGTGTGTATGTGTGAGAGAGAGAGAGAGGGGTGTGGTGTCAGTCAACTCCCCCTCGTATGACGCCTTTTACCTGTTGTTTGTGTGCCTGTGTGTGTGTGTGTGTGTGTGTGTGTGTGTGTGTGTTACAGAAACAGAGAAGGTGGCTGCTAGCTCCCTTGTCTGAAGGAATGTCTGGTTCTCGTTGCCCGGAACGTACGTGAGAAAGAGAGACACAGAGAGATCTGAGACATGCTCTCCCTCCCAGGTGAGAGAGATCGGACCTCCCTTGACATATAACTTGTACTTTATGGAGTTTATCTTCTACTCTGTGTTTGAGAAACGCAGTATGCCTCCCTCACTTGTGAAACCATTGATGTGTGACTCTCCTGTGTGCGCATGTAAAGAAACATGGGGTTTATTTGTCTCGTGTATGTGTGTGTATGTGTGAAACATGGGATTTCCCTTCAGTGGGTACCAGGGGGTACTCCCAAAACCTGGGGAAAAGCTCGACTGGGTGGAGCATCTGTAGTCCGCATTTTCCCCGCTAGGCGAGGATCGAGCAACTCGCTCTGAGCTAGTGCACCCAGTGGCGTCGCCTGGGAAGGTTGTCTCTGGTCACAGTGAATTTTTTCATAAGAGCAGTTTTGCTCAAACCTCCTTTTGTGTGATGGCCAATTTAAAAGAACAGCATGCTGCTGTGAATTTTGTGTCCTGCTTGGGAAAAATGCCGCAGAAACTGTTGTGATGTTGAACACAGCTTATAAGGACAGCACTATGGGAAAAACTCAAGTTTACAAGTGGTTTTCTCATTTCAAAAAAGGTGAAATGTCAATTGATGACAAACCTCATTCTGGACATCTGTCACCTTCCCAAATGAACAAACATGTCAACTTTCAGTGTATCTGGATTTCGTTCCACCAGGTCAGACTGTCAATCAAGCTTTCTAGTAAGAGGTTCTGAGAAGATCGCGCAATAGTGTGGGACAAAAACGCCCTGATTTGTGACAAACAGGACTGGTTTTGCCACCACGACAATGCACCTGCTCACGCAGCCATCTCAGGGCACCAGCTTTTGGCAAAAAGCAGCATGCCTCTCTGCCCCCACACCTGATGCACCTGACCTTGCGCCATGCGATTTCTTTCCACAGATGAGGAGGGACGAGAACAGACAGCCCTTTGACGACATAGAAGAGGTGAAGAAACAGATGAGGGAGGTGAGTTTGAAAACTGTTTCCCAGGAGGGATTCACAGATTTGACACATGCATCAAGTGTCATGGAGAGTTCTTTGAAGGTGATACGGTTGTTGTGTA